TAAAGTCTTTCCCTTGAAACCCTTTTAATTTATGTGTATAACATACTTTCCTGAAAACAAGCTGAAAAATGTTACGATGAATTCAATATTTTATTTCACGATAACTAAAGAAGTACAGAATGTTTGACTGATAATACCCACATTTATTTGAAAGATTTCTGAATCGCTGACAAAATAAAAAAAAATCATCGAAATCGGACGGTTCGTTGCAGAGTTACTGAGTTTTAAACATTTACTGCTTTTTCAGAAAAGGTCGTTTCGTTTTGCTTCCTCACTACCGAACGTCGGCAAGCATTTTTTTTTATTAATTAATCGAAAATTTTATAATTACTACAGTAATTGAAATTATCATTTGAAGAAGTTATATGATTCTCCTTATGTAGGTCAATACTATTATACTTTTTTTTATTAATTTTTTAATTTAGTTTTATAAGTTCAACTCAGACTGTTTCTGATGATTATAAATGACGGCGTATTCACTCAGATGATTATGAATGTTCAATTTGAATCAAGAGAAAAAAAAAACATTAGAATTAGTTTAAATTGAAGCCATTTTACAGACAATTTTGTTTCTCAACTTTTTAAAAATGACAGATGTTCTTATCTACTAATCTACTCGTATGTGCTTTCTATTTGCTTTCTTTTTCATTTTGCCAGGCTAAGCCACAGCAGCGCGTAAAGCTAGTAAACAATAATTGTCATTAGCGAAATCAAATATTTCCCAACTCGGGGGACAACAACTACTAAAAAGCTGATAATGCAATGGTCCGATTTTCCGATGAAAAGTAATAAAGTAAAATTTAAGATTTTAAAATGAAATCGGATGTTCTGGTTAATTTTTAATATTAAAAAAATATATTTAATTGATTTAATTAACGATGGTTTTATAATAAATTAGACCAAATCTTTTTTTGAACTTTTAGGCGGTTAACCTAATTGAAAGTAAAGATCCGTTTTTCAGATAATCATGGATTATTCGCGATGTTTTTCTTTATTTTACTTTTAGAAAAACATCACTGTTTAATAAGCTTTAAATTAATATTTATTAAGTTGGACTTTATAACACAATAATATTCAGCTCTATTTATATTTTAAAAAATTATGTGATTGAATAATAGTCACCCCTAAGTGTAACTGTTTATAGCAAGAATAACGACGATAAATTATTAAAAAGCTTCAAATCCTTGTATTAATTTATTTTTCTGTGATATGAGATCTACTGCAATAAATTTAATACTATAACTTATCAAAAACAATTCATGCTACTCTTAAAGAAAAACAAAAAACATTTTTAAAGTAATACTTCGGTAACAAACCTCAACTTAATTTAAATTGACTTAAGCCTAATAAACAGAAAACTTTTATTAAAAGTGGGCTAACTTAAGTTCATTTGGAGTATGATAAACAAAAAAGCACCAATAATCTATGATTATATAAAAAAATAAAGGACTCAGCGTAGTTTAGCCAACAGAAGACTAAACTACGCTGACTTATTTTTCAGCTTGATAAACAAAAAATAAATATTACACATTAATATTACCAATTTTTTAAAGTTTATATTTATCATTATAGTAATATTCTTACAGTTTATTGACTTTTTCAAAAATAAATGTTTAACAAGAGAATGTTAAAGAATTTCACCGTATATATATATATATATCGCATGGGATTGTTTAATTTGAGTTAGTTTGAAAAAAGAAAAAGAAAACCTGTCAAACCTAAGTTAGTGGAATTAGTTGTTCTGTTTCTTTCCAGTCTGCTATCTAAAATATATTTGTGAGTGCCATTAAACCTCATATAAGGGTCAATGGATATAATATAGAAACTCTCTAAGTAGCTTATTTACGACCCACCTCATTTACAAGATAAGGTTATGGACATCGGATCAAAAATTGTAATGTATCATTTTTTTTGTAATTTTAGATCGAAAAGAATTTGACCCGTTTCAAAGAGTTATTGATAATGCTCCAAAAAGCTCCTCAAACGTTTTTATTTGATATCTGCAGTTCTTAGTGATTTATGAAGGTCTGTTTTGAGCCATTTTGTGTAGTTTATAGAATCCTAAATCCATATAAACCCTGTTGATTTCCATTTCATTAAAGTCCGTGACCCCACGTCCGCAATCTCACCTTGCTAGAGATAAATTATGTGCGATTGATAGTACGTGATGATAATAATAAGAGAATATTTTTCTATTTCTTCGAAATTTTGTTTAATTACTAGCATATTTGTTTATCAATAAAATATAAGATTAAGAAAGGATTTCCAAAACCAATGGCAGCTCAAAAGGTCACATCTTCGTCTAAAATGATGTTGCTAAATCAACAAGCCATTGACATTTGTAAGAACTGGTCCAGCAAAGGCGCTCTGAAGAAAATTATCAGAAACTCTTGAGTAGATTAAATTAAAAATTTATTTTTATTTTTAAACATTTTAAATGGACGTTGTTTATTGTTTAACATTTTTATTTTCAATAGTTTTTCAGTTCTTCTTTTCCTTTGCAATTTTTCAAGTAAAGGGTTTACTTTTATTTGTTAAAACTTTATTACAAAGTTTCGCCGATTTCGCTAAAAATTCGAATTAAAAAATGGCTTTTATTCATAGCTACTCAAATAAACGACGTATTAGAATCATGTGCAATTCATTCAAGACAAATTATAACTCTAATCTAAGCCCAATTAATGCTATTTTTCATTCAATTGAACTTTTTTTTAAATAAATACAAGTTAAATATTTACCGAAAACGTTTTATAGAACTTTTATTTTAAGAACTTTTTCTTTGACGGTTTTAACTGTTAAAATAGAGCTTTAAAAAAAAAATTCCATAAACGTTTTAATCCCTCGTTAAAATATCATAAATGATCTGCGACTAAATACACATAAATTAATTCTAAAAGTTCTAAATAAAAATTCCATTTTATATAAATAAGAGAAATAATAATTTCACTGAATATACTTAAATCGAAAAACCTATTTTTTTTTTTTTTTTTTTTTTTTTCCTACCCCCCAGGAATTTCTTGAATAAATACAGTATGTATTATCTTTGTTATTACTTTATTATCGAAAAACCTAATAGTAATATGATAAATGTATAGATTATTCAGTAAATCTAATCTATGAGTGAAAGCTATCTATTTTCGAAAGATTCTGTTCCACAATTTCTAAAAATAAATTCGACATAAATATTTTTGTTTTGAAGGAAAAATATGATAAATGAATATTCCCGTATTTTCTGAAAATAATTCTTTAAGTATGCATTACTGAATGGTACATAGAAAGGTTTTATACAAAATATTGTTTATATTTCCTTAGTTTATTCAAGGGATGCGCAGAAGGGAGTGTTATGGGGCAAAATTTTTGAAGGAGCCATATTTTAAAGGGTATTTGAATTTTTGAGGGGAGCACATTTCAAAAGGTTTATGAATTTTCAGAATGAAAAGTTTCAGAGTTTGAGGCAAGGAAAAAACATGGAACAGACCACTGGAAGTATAATTGTGTATGAACTATGATTTTTCTATTTCTACTTTCGCTTGCTCTGTTTTTAAGAAAATCAGCAATAAAATATTTTGGGATGATAGAGGATAGGTTCTTGTGGCATTGACCTTGGAAGGGATAGGCAGGCATCCATAGTTTATCCCGCCGATTTATATTGACTTCTTAAGTAACTACATATAAAACATTTTTTATTTCTTACGGGCATATTTTGTATTATAAAATTAGTATCTTCTTAAAATCTATTGTAATCAAGTTTATGATAAATCATATTTTTTAAAATTTTTGAAGGAGGCATATTTTAAAGGGTATTTGAATTTTTTTTTGGGAGGGGAGGCACATTTCAAAGGGATTATGAATTTTCAGAATGAAAAGTTTCAGAGTTTGAGGCAAGGAAAACACATGTAACAGACCACAGGAAGTGTAATTGTGTATGAACTATGATTTTTCTATTTCTACTTTCGCTTGCTCTGTTTTTAAGAAAATCAGCAATAAAATATTTTGGGATGATAGAGGATAGGTTCTTGTGGCATTGACCTTGGAAGGGATAAGCAGGCATCCCTGGTTTATTCCGCCGATTTATATTGACTTCTTAAGTAACTACATATAAAACATTTTTTATTTCTTACGGGCATATTTTGTATTATGAAATTAGTATGTTCTTAAAATCTATTATAATCAAGTTACTCTATTTATGGTAAATCATATTTTTAAATATTACTGATAGTTAAATGGAAAATAAGCGAAAACAGGAGAAAGAAGTTAACAAGCCAGAAAAAAATAGAATAAATAATAATAAAACCAAAAAGTCTAAAATATTTATCAACCTCAATGAACTGAATACTTATAGTATAAACTATAAGTAATGGTTTTCAGTCAATAATTAATGCAAAGTCATGCAATCAATTATTCTTTATTGAGTTAAAAACAGCTCACGATACTCTCAGCACTCAAATTTTATGTTACATTCAAACCTTGAGAAAATGCAATTACTATTACCGAAATAAATGATAGTTCTAATATGTACATTGTTGGCGATATTTCATACTTGAGTCGTTTATAATCTATATAACAAAACGTGTGATTTGGAAGTTTAAATTATTAAATTTACATATTTTTGTATTTGAATGAAAATCTTCAATTTATTCAGCTTTAACAAGCGCAAACAAATTATCAAGCAAATGACAATTATCATTATTGATCATTAATAATTAACAGTATGTATATTAAGGATTCAAAATTCAGCATTTATGAAATAAATGTTTATTTTTTAATAGTTTAAATTTATTTCAATTAATTATCTATCTCAATTTATTTTTTGTCATTTTAGTGTATCCATAAAAATTAAGTGATTTAATATAAGAAGGACAATACAAAAACTTTAAAAAGCTGGTAACTGATAGCTTATAGTTGAAAATCCTGTGTTAACTTAAGATTTCTTGTTTTATTATTTCTTGTTTGGTTTCAATAAAAATAATAAAAAACTTTTAAGTGGCTTAAGAACTCACCTCAATCTCCTTACTATGCAAAGCACGCAGGGCTTGATAGGCTGACTGCTGATGACTCCCCTGGTTATAAAATAAACTGATAACGTTGTCGTCTTCCATCGAATCCCATAGTTTCCTCAACATTGCAAACCGCACTCGCTAACAGCACTGGAACACTACAGCCTTCTCGAAAGGGAAAATATCGAGAACTGAGAGATTCTAAGACGTCGGAACCGAGCGATAAACTACATGACACAAAGACGATCTGAAAGTAGTGAAGCGAGATGTGCCGGGTGAGCGGCACCCAACCAACTGTATTGATGAGAATCAAATGAGGACAGCGTCCAGGAAAACGATGGAGGGGAAAACCTGAACTCATCTGGGAATTTCGACTAGCGCTGGTCAGTACTTCTATAAACAGTACATCACTCCAAATGATGATTTCATTGATATCTTGAATAATAATATTTGTTATCATCAGTCACGGCCAGTATTGTGACATTTATTATCTAGACTCAAATCCAAAAGCAAATAATATAATTTGAAAAATTTAATAATATAATTAGATAGTTGTAAAGATAAAAGGAGGAATGATCTCCAATTATCTATTTCTATACATTACTTAACGCAGAAAGTAAAATCCAAATCATAAAATATATACAAATTGCTTATGAGATCAATTAATTTTATCTTAAACACAACAAAATTATAGAATAAAGCAAACTGGATTAGTGACTTATTGAATTAAATATAATATAAATATTAAATAGTATAAAAGAGCTTAAAAAATAAATTTATATTTTAATGATAAGATAACCGGGGGCGCAAAATTTTGAAGGCCGTAGGATAGATAAACTGCATGATAGGGTACCAAGGAAGAAACCTCTTCTCACTGAAATTAATAGAAGAAATTAATTTACTAAGGAATTGTACAAACTAATAAAAATGGAGGAAGGATCGAGCGTTGATGAGGCATGGTTAGCCTTGAACGGGTCAATTAAGAAAACAGCCAAAGATGTAGTGGGAGAAAAGAAGAGAGAGACCAGAAAAGAACTCCCCAGATCCAGTTGTTGGCCGATTGAAAAATCATAAGTACCCAGGAACAGATGAGATAACAGCAGAACTCGAGTACGGCGGAGAAGAACAACACAAGGAGTTGAACAATCTGATTCTCCGAGTATGGAATGATGATTAGGAGCTGCCAGAGGAGTACCACACAATAAGTACAAATTATCGCGGGATTTTCCTCCTCCCTAGCGCTTACATAGTCATATCTGTTATTCTATATAACAGATCATCTCCCTTGGTTGGAGAATATCAGACTGGCTTCAGGAAACGAAGGTCCACTATAGCCCATATGTTCAGCTTTAGAATGGTAATGGAGGAAGGAATTGAGTGCAGATTCCCAATCCACCATTTATTCCTGCTTGTACGGGCATATTCAGCTTGTACGGAGATATCGATATAGTACGGCTCATCAAGGTGGGCACGTTCAGTCGGGCAGGACATGTGGCACACATGGCTGAGGAGAGAATACCTAAAAAAAATTATGGAGAGCGTGCTAGAATTATGGATAAGAGAAAGACCCAGGTTGAAATGGATCAATGATGTAGCCGCATACTGGAACAGAACTGGAAGGCGGCGGTGAGAGAGGAGGCCAATACCCACCATGGGTTGTAGAAGCAATCGAAGTAAATAATAAAAATATTCTATTGAGCGATTCAACTAATTTAACTCATATTTATGGAAACGAAAGAAATAAGTTTTTATGCCTTATATAAAAATCTATCTTAGTATTTTCATCTTTCTCTTTTTCCCTTTTCCTGTTACTTTCTTCTACTTATCTCTACCTCTATTTGTGGTATATTGATACATTTGTTCATTAAATCTTATTTTCATCATTTACAATACATTATTTTAATTCTCTTATCGTAGTCAGTATGTTTAGATAGATTTTACAGTATCTTAATTTTTCAATTTACATCTATTATTTTCTTTATATAACTTCATATTCCTTTACTCTGTTTTACATGTTATTATATGATTATCTCACTTCCTTTAAGCATACAAAGAAATATCATATTTTAGCAACTACGTCACCATATTTATTTTATGTCTACACTTACGTTTTTCATCTCATGTATGCCATTACATTTCGTTGTTAATTCATGTTTTATTTCTTATGTTATCTTATTTCATTATTTTTATTTCGGTAGTGTTTGTTACCGATATTATTTATTCCATAGTTCTCTATTACTGTTGTTATTTTATTCATAATTTTCTATCTTTGTTACTATCATGAGATATATCCTTACTTTGCTTCTGCTACTTTCTATCCCCAACTTTGTTATCGTTATTTTATATTTCCTTTAATTTTATTCAACCTACTTTATTTTACTTTAGTTTATGCTACCTACTTTAAGTTTATTCCACCTACATTTTTAAGCTATATCTTTCACCGACATATTATTATTTTCGTTTTAATATTAATAGTTATCTCGTTTTTTTTTTCTTAGCCCTGAACTTCAGGTCGAAGCGTTGGCAAAAATAAATATAATTTATTTATTTTTTACATTTTTTTTACTGAACACCCCAATCTTCTCTACGATTATTTACTATAGTCAACCATCAATCCACAATTAAAAATCCATCTAAAGGACTAAATATTCGATCAATGGTAAATCATGGAAATGGTCATGATAGATGAAGTTTTTTTGGAGATTGGTCTCCTAATAATATTATTGTACGATGAATATTTAATTTTACAAAATGTTGTTTTGTTTCTATCATATTGCCGTCAGTATACATAATAGTAGTCAAAAGTATTTTCGTATGACAATTTTTGGTTTGAAATTCAAAGTGGAACGAAATAAGATTGCAAAAACATTTTTGATGGAAAATATAAGGCAGCTAAGGAACCAAAAATAATCGATAAATTATATCACTTCATGGATAAATATGAAACAAACATTTCAAAAATATTTTAAGTTCATACTTCGCTATTGTTTACATTATTATTCTTAGGTTTTAGGAAAAAGGAATTCTGAGTTCGTAAAATCGTAAAAATGTATTGTTATTAAATCTATTGATTTCTAAACATTTTGTATGTGAGGATGTCACCGAAACAAGGTGAAATGTCTGTTTCCAGTCCAAAAAGGTTTATTATATTCCGAAATAGTGGAAAAATATTGGGAAATAGTTTGATTCTTGAGTTGGAATGTCTTGAATGTTCGTCATATCACTAAAAAGTATGGTAATAAAGGATGAACTACAAAGAGAGTGGACAAATATATTGACGCCTCAAAAGTGCATGGACATCATCATAAAACCTATAAATAATCTGTCCGCCAAGTGCTTAGGGATTGGTACTTATGGTGACGAGAACTTCTAACAAGCAGGCCAATAAATCATGTGCAAGAAGAATCCCTTGTCAATCATATACATGATTGATATGAGACTAGATAATAAATGTCGTAATTAGTGTTACCCAAATGCGAGACCAAAACGAGTCAGTCTTGCAGTTACCTATTAGCTTATAACTATACAGATATTACTGTAATTTTCAGGTAATAAAATTAAGCCCAATTGAAAAATTGGAAGAGTTAAATGCATAAGTATTGGGTTTATACCAATTCTTTATGTATAGTAACTAAAATGATCGAGTATTAGTAACTATTTCGCCTTAATTCTTATTCACAAAAACGAGTTATTTTTTACCAGTCTTGGTCTTACAAAGTGCAAGACCAAGACCGATTTTGGGTAATACTAGTCATAATGCAGGTCGTGACCGATGATATCAAATTGTATTTTGCAATGTATCAATGAAATCGTCATTTGGAGTGATGTACTGTTTATAGAAGTACTGAAGGCACATTTTTACGGAATTTTGAATTTTTGAGGGGGCTGTGAATTATGAGAAAGATTCCTATTTTTATATTCTATTCTTTTCAACCGGAACAATTTTTCTTTTTTGGGCTCAACTAAAACTCTTAAGCACGAGCCTTTTTCGAAATAGAAAAATATGAAGTTTTTGAAATTAATTTTCTGGCTGGATTTTTTCGCATGGCTTTTTCTAAAATATTCATAACTCCTCAGTAATTTCTCCAAAGTCAAAGTTACTACCAACGTTGGAAAGCTAAATAATTTCTCTTTAAAACTATATCAATAACTTTCAGATTCTACGCCTTTGTAGGGAATAAATAAAGAAAAACTGCCCAAACGATTTATCTTAGAACCTAATTTATTTACGGGAATCTAGTATGTGCCATTCCGTGTATCTTACAGGGCCCTAAATTTATTCAATTTTTCGTATGAATAATTGGAGCCATATCGAAGCTATCACAACTTTTGTGATTTTCGGAACAAAACGAAGGCTCCATGCTAGGCGGAAATTTTGAGTAAAAAAAATTTATTTTTCGATTGGTAGGAAAAGTCGTAATTAAGAGTTTTTAGAGATGCAAAATAAAAATCTCAACTTTGTTTCTCCTTAAAAAACAATTGAACCCACTTTACTCCATAGGTCAGTATTAATTATTTCAATATTCTACTCATTCTATAGCTGTATGCTAAATATACCTTATATCGAAAGTAAGATTGAATTCACAAAATCTGTTATTTTATCGTGATTTGATCCAAAAATAAAAATAAAGCAGGTATTGTACATTTTATACACTTATTATATCATGAAAAATATAATAAAAAAAGATGAAATAAGCTGTAAACATAGATGGATCTCATTAGAGCTTTTAATGGAAGGCAGAATATTGAGCCAATAATTTACATTTTTCTATTGAAACGAAAAGCTGTATTTAAAAATTATGATTAAGAGGCGCATAGCAAATTAAAGGCAATAAAGAATCAGATGCAACCGTGGAGCAGCGCCAAACGCAGCAGTCATAAAGAAGAGGTCATCCTCACGTGGCTGAGGATCGGGCATACTATACTGATATATCTCTACCTCATAACAAAAGATCTTATCCCCAGATGTCAAAAGTGTGACCAGTCATTAACTATAAAATATGTTTTGGAAGAATGTCCTTTTTACACCGCAAGTTTAAAAGATCTCGGAATACCCCAGAATATATCAGCATCCCTGGGAAATCAAGAAGAAATCATTACCAAAGTTATGAAGTTTCTAAACAATGAAAGACTTATAAAACATATATGAAAAGTTAATAACTATCCTTTGTAGATTTATTCTTAGTTTTTTTTTTTAAAAAGTTCATTTATTTATTAATTTCAATTCATTTGTTGATTTTAATGCTATTTGTTTCAAGGTTTATTTATTTATCTATTCTATATTATTATCTATGAATGCCTTTTATTATCTTTATTTTATTCTAATACTTTTTTTTATCCTTTTTTTTTATTTTTATTTTCTGTACCAACTACCTAAACAGTATAAAAGTAGTGTTATTTAGTTCATTGGGCTCTGATGACCTGGATGTTTTGCGCCTAGACATCAAAACAAACAAACAAAAGAGGCACCAAAAATCAATGTGATCTTTTTTATCCAAAAAAATAAGAGTATTATAATCGTATATAAGTTATATACTTATATAAATATAAGTCTATAGTCCATAACCTCCCCTTGTAAGATTATAATACAATAAATAATAAACTGTAAAAATATATAAGAAAATAATAATATGGACTTTTTATTAAGAATATTGTTAGACACTAATTGAATAATGTCCTTTGTATAAAAAAAAAATTAGAATAAAGATTGCCGTGTAATATTACATGTAATATAAACAAAATATTAATTTTTTAAAAATATTTTTTTACTCGCAAACAATACCGTCAAAAGGCAAGAGGAATAAGTGCTAAGTATCAATAATTCTTAAAAATCAAAATAAGGATTAAGATTGTAAAAATAAATAAAAAAATAATGACAAGGAATTTTTATTAAAATAATATAGACACTAATTGAATTGTACTTTTTAGAAAAAATAAAAATCAACAACACTAATAAAAAATAAGGACTAATACTATAATAAAACAAATGATAAATTGTAAAAATAGATAAGAATATAATAATAAAGACTTTTTATTACAATAATGTAGATATTGATTAATATTAATTGAATGATGTTCTTTTTAGTTTAATTTAATTAATAATTGTGTTTATATATAAATATATCAGTAACATTAATTAACAATAATAATTAACAGATAAATATATAGTATATTAATTTTACACGACTTAAGTTCACCAACGAGCAGGCAGAGCTGAGATGTATGAATCGGTAGAGGTTTTGTAATGGGCCAGTCCCCAGAGTCAGTGAAAACCCTAAACGAGTTCAGAGTGTCTGAATCCCTTTAGGATTTGTAAATACGTTGCCAGGGCTAGGAATTTTACCAGTAGGGACTAATATAGTTTTGCTCCCCCTTCTTTCACCTCTCCTCCTCAATAATGTCAACACATAATAACATAAATTCATTACATATATTACAAAGGAATGAAAATTTTTGGAGAGTGGCTGAACCATTTAGAGTTTGCTGATGATCAAGTCCTAATAAGTAAAAATATAGAAGAAATTGTAACGATGGCAAACCAATTAATAAAAGCTGGAGCTAACATAGGACTGAAAATAACTTATAAAAAATGCAATTATATGTCAGTGAACGTTGAGGGAGATATAAAAATAGG